GGTCCACCGCCAATGGCACTTCCGCCGATGGGGCCACCGCCGCAGCTGCCAATGCCAATGTCTCATCCACAAGCTGCTTATCCAGGTCAAGGTCTTCCACCACCGCCTCATCTTGGAGGACCACCACCACCACCACCACCTGGGCCACCTTTTCCTCCGCCTCCTCCTTCTCAATTTCGAGGTGGCCCCGGTGGCTACACCGGTGGTGGTAGTGGTGGTCCGAAGCCCGAGGACTACGGTCCAGCGGGCATCAATGGAACAGGTACTGTGCAAAAAAAATGACTCTGATCATTTTGACCTGACTGCTTCAACAGAGGAGGACAAAAAAGATTACAAAGTTTAAAACTCTAAGTTTACACCACTTAATGGCTTTTTAATCTTCTTCTTCTTCTTCTTCTTCTTCTTCTTCAGGCTATCGAACTACGGCCGGCGGATACGACCTCTACAACGACTACAATTACATGCGCGGATCGCCCAAGAAAACTCAAGTACGTGAAAAATGAGTTTGCAGTTGATTGAAAAAAATTGAAAGTTTAATCTGCTTTTGTTGTTTTCAATTTGCCATGATATTAATTGAATTTTTTATCGCACATATTTACTCGTTTGTTTAGTTTGCCCCCAACACTACCAAGTACCCAAAGTATCCGTTTCCAATTAAGCGCATCCTCCTGACGCAAGACCCGAAGATTCGCTCCATGGGCGGTAAGTGGAAAATTCAATTGAGATGAGGCAAATGAAAAAAGAACCAAAGTAGAACTAGATTCAGCATTCTTTAGTATTGTTGTTGTTGTTGTTGTTGTTGTTGTTGTTGTTGTTGTCAAGTGCAAAATGTTACCACTTTTTTGCATGGCTGATTTTCAGCCAAATTTTGTGAAGCCTGAATCGTATGAAAGCGCGCCTGGAATTCGCTTCATAAAAAATTTTAATTTACAAACACTGTTTTTTTTTGTTTTTATTTTCATTTTTTTACCTTTTACTAAAAATTTTATCTTCAACTTTAGCTGGCGACGGACTTGGCCTGAAAGTGGTCGGTGGGAAGGACATTCCCGGCACCAACATGATCGGCGCCTACATTGAGCGCATTCACCCCAGTCTGTCGATGAATGAGATTCGAGAAGGTAGTAGAAGATAATGAGCAATTGCTGTCAATAAGAAAATTGACAACTAATAATTTGGTCACTTTTCAATTTTATAGGCATGCAGGTGATCGAGTGGAACGGCATCCCGCTGACGGGCATCTCCCACGACGAGGTCTCCCGCATCATCGCCAATCAGATTGGCGACGAAATTGAGGTGGTCATTCGGACGGACGTTAATCTGCTCTCTGATATGGGACAGAGCTACGGTTATGGACAGCCACCACCTCAAGGACAGATGATGCAGCAGCCCTCGAACTACGGTCCTCAGGATGGTCGAGCACCCTACGGACCACTTCCTCCTCCTCAAGTAGGACCATACGGTGGTCCTGGTGGACAACCAGGACAACCAGGGCCCAGCTCGTACGGAGCAGTTGATGGCGGCATGCCGCCCCCTTCGGCGTACAATTACGGACCACAGCAGCAGCCAATGCATCAACAGCAGCAGCCACCACCTCATAACATGATGCCCGGTGGTCAGGGAATGAATCCTCAAAGTTATCTCCATCCTCAGAGGCCTCCACCGATGATGGGCACATCTCATGGAATGGGCAGCAATCCTCCGGGGATGAGGGGCGGCGGCGGCGGCCAACCGCAGGTAATTCTTCAGCACAACCACCCGGTGGTGGAGGACCTTTCGGGAGGTGGGGCCGGTTATGGTGTGGACCAGTATGGACATCACCAGAAACCGCCAGGACAGATGATGATGGTGGGCGGTGGTGGTGGTGGTCAAGGGCCGATGGGACCGAATCCGATGATGCACCAGCAGCAGCAGCAGCAGCCTGGTTATCACCAACACCCCCAACAGGGTGTTGGTCCAATGCAAGGTGGTCAACATCTTCAGCAACAGCAGCAGCAGCAGCAACAGCAAATGGACAGTGGAATGTACGGCGGCTATCAACGCTAGCAACTTCTGATAAGCTTCTGGTGAACTAAACTAGTACACAACTTTCCTTTATCTCCCCATTTACTCCCTTTGCCTTCCTCTTCATCATCATCATTATCATTTATATCTTTATCATTAATTCTTATCACCCATCACCCCTTTCCCCAACATTCTTCCTCATCATTTTCATCCTCTTCAACAAATCCTTCCTCTTCCAAGCACACACCAAACAACCTTCCTCTAACTTTTTTTTCTTTTCTCTCTCTCTTTTTAATTTGCTTGCCAATTTGACCCATTAACTGCAAGCAGGCAATAATTTTTTACAATAAGAAAATACTATTGTATTATCAACTGCTACCGAAACAACTACGACAGAAAATTATAATATCTTTTTGCCCCTTTTCCCCATTGACCAAGAGTACACCTTCCCACACTAAACAGTCAAGTGCATTAAACCGTTGTTTTGTTTGCTGTTTTTTGCTGATCCTTTTAGAATGAACTCACACTGAAACCACATGTACAAGAGAGTTACACTCCTTTTCCTCCTCCTCCTCAACAAATGCAATTTGCCCTTTTAAACGCCTAAATGACTGATGAATACTTTGCCGCCGCTTCTTGAGCTCATTTGATAACTTCTTCACTTGACCTTTTTGTCTTCACTTAAAGGCGTTGAAAACAAACAAACTTGCTAGTGATCAAATGTATCATCACTGTCATCATCATTATTTCTTCAATTTACTATTTTTGTTATTTGTTGAAGAAAGTTTACAGCCAAACAGATACAGAATTTTTGCTTACTAAACCAAGAACCTTTTACTTGTTGTTGATAGTGAAAAAAGTTTTCACTAGAACTTTTTATCAAAGGCAAAGGCAAACTAGTTTTTCTAACCATCTTTTCTGTTGTTGTCGACTCTCTCTTTCTCCAGCACTGTGTATGCTTTTCCTTTCAAAGTCTACAAAAAATTGTTTTTTAAATTCTTTCTTTTTTCTCAATTTACCCCATCCTCATTCGACCTCTTCCTTTTCAACACATCAACATTTTCTGTTTTTAAAAACTTCTATTTTACTACATTATTTTCCTTTTTTTTATTTTCATTTAACTTCACCACTTCTCCTTCCTAACTGAAACCTAAGATTGACACACAACTATTGATCCCAGCTTCTGAAGTAAACGACCTACAGCCACAAACCTTTCCTTAAACCTCTTTCCCAAACCGAGTGTGCTTTGCAGTTGTTTTGTTTGAACTCTTGTTTTTTTCCTTCTCTCTTTCTCTCTCTCTCTCTCTCTCTCTCTCTCTCTCTCTNCTCTCTCTCTCTCTCTCTCATTCTCCTTTTTCTCCCATTCAAGCACATTTCCTCCGCATGAAACTGTAACACAAAAAAACTTCTCGTTGTTTCCTGTCTACTGTGTACTTCTCAAACTGTTCATAAATATAAACTATTAAAAAATTAAACCCAATTTACCAAATTTGCTTTTAGTTTGTCTATTTTTTGTGTGCATTTTTGCTACTCTGGCGCTAGATGGAGGAGATGATAAAGTTGGCTGCACAAACTTTTTTGACAGCTTTTCCGTGACGTGCATTGCAGAAAATTGTTTTATTTTTGTGCTGGTGTGTGTGTGTGTGCACGTGTAAGCATCAGCACACTCTGACTTAAGAGTGAAATCATATTTTTGCAGTTATTTCATAATTAATCACACCTAATTCAACCCCCCAAAAAAGATGAAATGGAAAAGTTTCAAATGAAATTCTTGGAATGCCTATTGATCATAGCATCAATAATAATAACAAGTGAAAAGAAAAAAAGTGACTGCAGTCATTAGTTAAGTGTCTAGCTAACATCTAAGCTAGGCATTCAAACCAGTGCGTGCTAAATAAAACAAACACAGCAATAGGTGATCTATTGCAAGTGAATTTGGAAGTTATTTATCATTTCACTGTTTAGATAATTTACTTTTTTATTGAAAAACGTCATATTTGAAATGAACACAATTAATTTAAAATGTAAAACGGCGACAGTAAAAATAAAATTATTATAATAAAATCAAAACAAAAAAGTGCCTTGACCCTTATATTTGCGCTGCAGTAGAATTGGTATTGTACGGCTGAACTGTTGCTCAGCCAAAACTCAGCCAAAACTTGTACTTACTTTACAATTTCAACCGCAACAACAACTGTTTTAGCCGTTTAGCTTAGGCAGTTTCTCCCAGTCAGTTTGCAGGAAAAAGGCTAAATTTAGCAGTGCCCTGACAAACGCGGGTTGCTGCTCTTGAAATAATTTTTACAACTTCTTTTCTTCCTTTCACTTCATTCTTCAACTTTTACTTTCCTTTTCTGCAGTTCAGATCAGGGCAAAAGCAGTTCTTCTGTCTGCCTGTCTGTCTAAGTTTTTTCAGTGCCAAATGACAACGCGCAATCGGCCATTTCGATTAATGTTCTTTCTTTGCTTCATTTTTTTCTTTTAACTGTTTAAAACTTCTTAGCTCTTACATTTCAACTAAACTTGAACTAAAGTTTTATTTGAGTTTAGCATATTGAACATAGTTTTGTTTAAGTAAATGAGCCTACTTTCTAAATTAAAGTTTTTAGTAATTAAGTGTGTTTAGCAAATTTTGGCATTGCTGCTGTTGATCAGAAAAAACCAAAATTTTAAAAGTTTTAACAGCAATTCGATGAGCACATTTGTTGCTGCTACACAAAAAACAGCAAAAAAATCAAAGTTAAATCAACAAATTAATCATAAATTTTAAACAGACATAAAGAATCTTTTACACAATTACAATAAAAACTTAACTTTTTTATTTTATCATTGTCAAACCAGTTTCACACCAGTGGTCACCAGTTTAGGTTTTAGGTAGACAAAGAGCCAAACTAAAACGGAATCTAAAATAAAAAAAGTAAAAAGAGAACGTCTTTTCAGTTCAGTTCAGTTCAGTTCACTTTAGTTCAGTTCAAACAGAGAGACAGACAGTCGTACAGAGAGAAGGAAACGTCGACTAGACAACTAGCTGCTTGCTTTTTGGCAAACTCTTGAAAAGAAATAAAAAAGAAAAGGTGACAAAAAACAGTCAGCGTTGTTGAAGCAACAGTGAACAGAAAGAGAGATCTGAAACAATGACGGCGCGACGAGTTACCGTCTACCAAGATTGCTACTGCGGATGTTCCTAATAACTGCAGAGTGCATACTGCTTAATCTGCCACTCAACCGATGCTCAAGAAAAAGTAGAATGGTAAACAAAAAAAAGTAAAAAAACCAAAAACAAAAACTTTTTTCTTTTTTCTTCTATTTCTTTTCTTTTGGCAAAAACTAGACCAGAAGATTTTGTGTTTTGCTAGCAATGCTTTTTTCTGTTTTGCCCTTTATTGTTTGTTTTTTGTTGCAGTTAATTTTTTTGTTTTATTAGATTGTTAAAACTGTGTGTGATGCAATGATTAAAAAGTTTGCATTTTATTAAGCAATTCTGCCATCATCGGTTGCCATGCTTGATTTGAGCTGCTGCTGTTTTAAACTAATTACTACTACCACTTTTTCTGCTAACTGTCGTTTGTACACCGGTTAGCAGCAGAAACTGCCGACTAAAGCAGCAGGATTGGCAAAAATGCCACAAATGCGACCGTACAGCAGAAGCGAAAAAAGGAAGAGAGAAAAACTTTAAGAGCGAGGCAAAATAGCAACAGAGCAGTTCGACCAGCTTGGCAGGAGCAGCACGCGCTGTGGCAAAAACAAACAAACAACACACTGGAGGAGGAAGCAGAAGAAGAAGAAAGAAAAGAAATGATGAAGAAAGAATGAACTGAAATTCATCAGCGTTCAGCGTGCAGTAATCGTAATCGATTGTGCAGACGCAGTGCAACGCAACAGCAGCAGCAACACGTACCAATCGTGCAAAAAGAAGGCGGCGGCTGTGTAGTGGTAGAAGAAAACACAACGATTTGCAAGCCGACGACGACGACGACGACGACTTTTGGAAGCTGCCGATTGCCGTTAGCAATTCTACTGCCATTCTCTACTGCTGCTGCTGTTTGACATTTTTTATTCTTCCTTCTCCTCTATTCTCTTTCCTGCCGTTTTTTTCTCTGTCGGTGTCTTTGAAGTGCGGCAGGCATTTCTGCTCTGTCACCACCACCACCGCTACTGCTCCCATCCACGGTAGCATCAGTTTTGCAATTGTTCATCTCTCTTTCGCTTTTTTTTCCTTCAGTTGATGAAGTCTCTTTGTCGCAGCGGCGGCGGCGGTCTGACAACAATTGAGTACTACTGCGGGGCAAAAGAGGCGTCGGTGTTCAGACACACTACTGCTACTTTTTCCCCCACTTCTCATTTGCTCAATTGTTGATGAAGTGTAGAAAGAGAACATTTGCAGAAGCTACCACCACCACCACTACTACAACTGTTGCTACTGCTGCTGCAGAAAAAAATCTGTAATCACTTGTTAGTTTTTTAGCCCCGCTTTTTAGCCGTAGCAGTTCGGCAACCGTACAGCTTCGTCGGTACGGTTTTGTACAGCACAGACATTCACATACATACTCACTGGTAGTCATTGCCAACTGGGCGATTCTAATTGCCATTGCCGCACTGATTCTTTTGCTCACTCTCTCTCTTTTTCATTCTCATTCTTACACTTCATTAGCCTGGCTGATGTTCATTAGCTCTCTGGTAGTAGTAACAGAGAGAATTTCTCATTATCATCCCCGGAAAGTAATAAAGAAGCGGAGTAATGAGGAGGGAAAAGGCTCAAACTACCAAACTACTTTAATGTACACAAATCTGTCAAATATTCCAGTGTTTCTAGCAATTTTTGTACATTCTCCGCAACGTTGTTTCCTGTGTGTTAGCTTTCTTACTTGCTTTTCATCCTCTTTTTTATAACTTGGCCAAACATCATCTTTGTTTGTTGCATTTTGATTGCTTGCAACTGGCAACACCTGAATCAACACCATTAACTTCACATCGACCACATTTGCAACAGATGCTGTTTGCTCAACATTGTTTTTTAAAGCGCGTTGCAATCACTGATCGAC